GCCCGACTGGCGGCCGAGACATGACGTTCGCGACGGCCACAGAAAAAATGGCCGGGGAGGGGAGGGGGTAACTGGACCCAGCCATGGACCCGGCCAGGGTGAGGCGTCGATTAGTCTCGTTCGAGGAGGTAGTTTCTTCTCTCAGTTTGATGGTTGCGAGTGTGCTGGTTCGTGTGGTGAGGCAAATGGACCCGACCCTGAGCGCCTGCGGCTGCGGCGGCTAGGCAGCCCCGCGCGCCATGGCTGCGTCCAGGACTGCCTGCCGCGAGCCGCAAGGGGCCGTGCTATGCCGTGCTGTGCCTGGCCAGCGGAACCGCCGCCGGCCGATGCTCTGGACGCGTTTTGAGCTCCAAAGTCGCTAAACAGGACTCGAGCCGAGCGTGTGGCCCCACCAATGGATTCCTCGTTCGGAGAGCAATCCAGTGGTGGGGTCACACGTTCGGTTCGAGTCGCACTTAGCGACTCTGTCTGGAGCTCAAAACGCATCCGGGGTTTTGACCGCTTCCACTGGTCTTCTGGCACTGTGCGTGGCTGGCTCGGCTCATTCCTGCACGACGGATGCAATCATCTCGCCGGGCCTCGGATGAAGAAATGGATAACGATAAAGCCAGTCAATATGGTGTGCCAGCGTGGCGGCGGGCAGGTGGTATTGGTACCGAACTAACGAACAATTTCCGTCACCTTCGGACCCTCGGCCCTCGGCGCGGTCTGGTGCGGACGGCGGCACGGACCCAGTGTATCGGCACGTGCAGTCGGAGCGGAAACGGGATGAGTACTGCACACACACAATCCCCGAGCCACGCTGGCAAGCGAGAACTGGAAACAAATATTCATTCATTCCTTACTGGCAGACGTTTGTTCTCCCAACTGGAAAACAATAGATTCAAGTTTGACCAAGTCGCGTACTTGTTCGAACACTCACACTCCCAATGGTCACGCACTCACACGGTTAGACTTGGTCCTGAAAGATTCAGGGCCGTAACGCGTCCCTGAGGTAGCCGGACACCCGTTTCCAGGACGAGAGTGGCGAAATTCAACCAGTTTGCCGTTTGGTCCTGGAAACGGGTGTCATTGGCGACGTTTGTCACCCGTTTCCAGGACGGTTCGGAATGTTTGGGGTTCTCGGTCCTGGAAACGAGTCTCGACGGGCCCAAGACGCCGAAGTAAGACCAGTTCGCACCTGGTAGCTTGCACACTGAACTACATTGTACCGCTGGGCAATGATGCGCCATTCCCGCAGTGCGTTTCATGGAAAAAATCGGCAGCAAAAAGTGGCAATACGAAAGTCTCAAGGAGACCCGCCGATCAGCTTCGGTGTTCTTATGGGAACCGGGCCTTCATTCGACGCATCCCTGCCGCGCAATTCGACAGATTAGTGGAGTTCGTATTGGGCTGGCCCACCCGAAGTGCGCGCGGTTTCTGTGGTACAGTGAGAGTCCAGATTCAGAGGCCTTACCTCAGAGGGGTCACATTGGGTATTTGAACCCGCGACCCCGAGTGCCGAGTCTAGTCAACTCCTCTACCCTGACCGCTCAGCCACCGAACCAGCTTGTCGGCGGCGATGTCGCAACTCCTCTTGAGCTGCCGTTCGAGAAATCTGGTCCCGAAAAAAGGGTACCTGGAGCGGTCTCGAACCCGGGACCTGCCGCTCCCCACAACATGCTCTTAACCACTGAGCCACCGGGACACCATGGCACCCGCTCTACCTGCGCAGGTACCCAATCTTCTCTGGATATACCCCCCCAAGCAATTGGTCGCCGAAAAAATTGTGTATACTACCGGTCCCGAACCCGGGACCTCCCGCTTCCCGCGACATGCTCTTAACCACTGAGCCACCAGGACGCCATGGCACCCGCCCTGCCTGCGCAGGTACCCAATCTTCTCTGGGAATACCCCCCCAAGCAATTGGTCGCCGAAAAAATTGTGTATACTACCGGTCCCGAACCCGGGACCTGCCGCTTCCCACATCATGCTCTTTACCACTGAGCTACCGGAGGACCACGGTGCTCGCTCTGCCAGCGCTGGTACTCAATCCTCTCCGGATAGACCTCCTTAAGAAGTTTGTTGCCGTTGCCGAAAAATTTGCTCATGGCACCAGTCTCGAACCCAAGACCTGCCAGTCAGGATCGGAGCACTCTAACCACTGCGCCATCAGGTTGCTATGCACGCCACCCACCTAGCGCCAAACTTGAATAGCCACCCATCTTGCTTGATGCTGGACAAATTATAAGTTCGGCGCTAGGAGGGCGGCGCTCATAGCAAACTGGTGGCGCAGTGGTTAGAGTGCTCCGATCCTGACTGGCAGGTCTCGGGTTCGAGACTAGTGCCATGAGCAAATTTTTCGGCAACGGCAACAAACTTCTAGAGGAGGTCTATCCGGAGAGGATTGAGTACCAGCGCTGGCAGAGCGAGCACCATGGTCCTTCGGTAGCTCAGTGGTAAAGAGCATGATGTGGGAAGCGGCAGGTCCCGGGTTCGGGACCGGTAGTATACACAATTTTTTCGGTGACCAATTGCTTGGGGGGTATATCCAGAGAAGATTGGGTACCTGCGCAGGCAGGGCGGGTGCCATGGCGGCCCGGTGGCTCAGCGGTTAAGAGCATGTCGCGGGAAGCGGGAGGTCCCGGGTTCGGGACCGGTAGTATACACAATTTTTTCGGCGACCAATTGCTTGGGGAGGTATATCCACAGAAGATTGGGTACCTGCGCAGGCAGGGCGGGTGCCATGGCGTCCCGGTGGCTCAGTGGTTAAGAGCATGATGTGGGAAGCGGCAGGTCCCGGGTTCGAGACCGCTCCAGGTACCCTTTTTTCGGGACCAGATTTCTCGAACGGCAGCTCAAGAGGAGTTGCCACATCGCCGCCGACAAGCTGGTTCGGTGGCTGAGCGGTCAGGGTAGAGGAGTTGACTAGACTCGGCACTCGGGGTCGCGGGTTCAAATACCCAATGTGACCCCTCTGAGGTAAGGCCTCTGAATCTGGACTCTCACTGTACCACAGAAACCGCGCGCACTTCGGGTGGGCCAGCCCAATACGAACTCCACTAATCTGTCGAATTGCGCGGCAGGGATGCGTCGGATGAAGGCCCGGTTCCCATAAGAACACCGAAGCTGATCGGCGGGTCTCCTTGAGACTTTCGTATTGCCACTTTTTGCTGCCGATTTTTTCCATGAAACGCACTGCGGGAATGGCGCATCATTGCCCAGCGGTACAATGTAGTTCAGTGTGCAAGCTACCAGGTGCGAACTGGTCTTACTTCGGCGTCTTGGGCCCGCCGAGACTCGTTTCCAGGACCGAGAGCCCCAAACATTCCGAACCGTCCTGGAAACGGGTGACAAACGTCGCCAATGACACCCGTTTCCAGGACCAAACGGCAAACTGGTTGAATTTCGCCACTCCCGTCCTGGAAACGGGTGTCCGGCTACCTCAGGGACGCGTTACGGTCCTGAATCTTTCAGGACCAAGTCTAACCGTGCACAAGCTTATCGCCGACTGAACCATTCACCGAAGTCTTCCAATACAATCTGGCTGATGCGTTGGACCAGGCCAGAATAGGGAAAGGAGTTTCGGTCGCCCTGAAGAGCTCGTGGAGGTCGTCCAGTGCACGGTAGAAACGGTTCCTGGTTTTCCTAGGAACCCCTTGGAAATCGCCTATCTCTTTACCATAGGCTTCCTGGGAAAAACAGGTTCCGTTTCTACCGTGTGTCGCAACTTAAGTGGGCAAAAATTCCCCTCGGTGCACCACTTCGTCGAGAGGGTCGTTAACTTCAACCCGCGGCAACTGTTTCTCGAGAGCAAAGTCCAGATATTACGTAGTTGGGCTGGCTACGGTTGGCGACCCTTCCGACACCTCGTGGGAATTCGGGCCTGCTTCGGTGGCAACACTGACGTTGTGGTCGTCGTGGGCGTGCGGCGGACCCGGGAGGTTGGTCCTCCTTGCCGCGCCCTGCCCTGCTGGATCGCGCCCCAGTCGAGATATCTCGGAGCGTCTTTATTTGCCGAGGCGTCTCTTTCCTCCTCTCTCCCTCCGCCCCTCCCCTCTCTCTCCCTCTGCCCCTCCCCTCTCTCTCCCTCTGCCCCTCCCCTCTCTCTCCCTCTTCCTCGAGGCGGGCCTGGAGGCCGCGGGGCGCGAGGCGCACCCCGGGAATTTGCATTTTGATTTTACGGCCAGCCATTCGGAGGCAACGCGAAAATCGGAGGCAGCGCGTCGGGCTTCGGCCTGTGGGTGCTGGATGGAGAGATTGAGGGTGGACGCGGGCTCGGCTAACACAGTGGGTCAGATGACCGGTGGCGGCGGTCGAAATCCCGGACGTACCTTGAGCTCAAGAGTCGCTAAGTGGTGCTCGAACCGAACGTGTGACCCCACCAAGGGATTGCTCTCCGAACGAGGAATCAATTGGTGGGGTTTTACGCTCGGTTCAAGGCCCGTTTTTAGTGACTGGAGCTCCAAACGCTTCTGGACTTTTGCCCGCCGGCGCCGTTCGAACATGAACTGCTTGGACGGGCCTGAATCGGCAGAGGATCATCCCTATGATGGTCATGTCGATGCCCAGGCCCTGCATCATGTTGGTGCTCTCCTGCGAAAGTACTGCCGATACTCTGCCGCTCTTCCCCCGGCACTTCATCATCAGCCTCCACTCCCCGCCCGAACCTTTCCTGGCCCCGCCTTGCCCTGCCTCGGCCCGCCGTGGCCCGGCCGTGGCGCCACCGCGTGTCCCTCTGGCCTTCCACCGTGTAGTTAGATAACCCCTGAATAATTATGGCTCTGTAAACGACCTCGGGGCGGGGCGGGGTCACGCTGCTGTATCCACACCCGGCGATTCCTTTGGCGCGTCCCGCCCTCGCCCTCAGCCACTTACAGAGGGGTGACTGCGCCAGTTCCCACGAACCGGCGGCGCTACCCCACGTTTCTTCCGCAGTCGGGGGGTATCGCCGCTCGTCCCTTTACTCTTGCTGTCGTTTGACTTGATGTTGTCTGACCCGTTGTTGTTGTCTGTTGCAGCGTGCGACTGCCACCCGATCGGCGCCTCGGGCAAGACGTGCAACCAGACGAGCGGCCAGTGCCCCTGCAAGGACGGCGTGACCGGCACCACCTGCAACCGGTGCGCCAGGGGCTACCAGCAGAGCCGCTCGCACATCGCGCCCTGCGTCAGTCAGTATCGCTCCCAATCCAACTCCTCCGGCGTTGTTTTGTCTTTTGTTTTCGTTGTTTTAATTTTGTTTTTAAAGTGTGAGTTTTTCTAGATGCAAGAGGTCCAAATAGCTTTGATGTTGCAGGGATTCCCAAGGTGTCGGTGATCCAGGCCGAGGCCGCCGCCGTGGACGAGGACGAGGAGGAGCCCACCAGCGAGGAGACGGCCTCAGGTTTGTGCACCAGTGTAGCGAACACCTTTCTAGCAAGGCAGGAAGTGCACTGTGAAACCGAGAGTAGAGAGATCTCCTCACGTGGAAAGCGGCCTCCGCACTTTATTCGAATGCAGCCTTCACTCTTCAAAGTGTGCAGTTCTTCACGGCTACACCCAAAAAAATGGTTTCTTGATTTTTGATTTTCTTGGTTTTGGAAGAAAAATGATCTTCACTCAACAAAAAATGTCCTGTAAACGCCGTTAATTTATTACCAATGTTTGCTGTTATGCAATTCACGGCGTTTGCTGTGAACTAGTTCACGGCGTTCACTGTGATCTCGGTTACAGTGTTCACTGTGATCTGGCCACAGTAAACGCCGTGAATTGGAGCCTGATTTGCAGCACTTCGGTGCTCAGCGGCGTCAAACTCACAGTGTTTACTGTGAACTAGATCACAGTGAACACCGTGAACAAGATCACAGTGAATCGCGTGAGCAGATCACAGTAAACGCTGTGAATTGACCTACAGTGAAAACTGGTAATAAATTAACGGCATTGACAGGACATTTTTGGTAGAGTGTTGACACAAGAGAAATTTTCTTTATTCAAGCAAAAAATGGATTAAGAAAAATTTTCTTGCAAAAACCATGGTCGCAAGAAAAGTTAAATTTTTCTTGATCCAAGAAGTCATTTTTTTTTGGGTGTAGAGAAAAGGGGCTCCGTGAGCCACTTGGCACAGTGTGCAGACTCCACTCGTCCAAGTGTGGATATTTACTCCACACTTGGTTTCACAGTGTATGCGTCCTTTTTCGAGCGTCACCGACCCAAGGTTCTGGTCTCATGGACCCACACCACAAAAATTGCACGAAGGGCCCTTCTTGTCTTCTTTTTCTCGCCGCCAGTCCAATCGCTCTCGGCTCCCCCCGGAGTGGAGTGTGTCTACGGGCTGTGATACGCCATGGCGAACGACTCGGACAATAAAATAATTAATTAATAATAAAATGATTGTTTTCGCTAATGAGCGGATACGGTAGCCATCACGGGATCACGGGGCTGTAAAGACTTCTCATGGGTGTATGTGTGTATGTATGTATGTATGTATGTATGGATGTGTGTGTGTGTATGTATGTATGTGTGTCGTGGAGGGGAGAGTCGGAGTTTTGAAGTGCCCGAGATAAAGCGACATTTTCTCTCCTGTTTTCGTTTTTGTTGTTGTTTTTTCTACCCGGCGGTGGTTTGTATCGCTGAGGGGTGCAGGCCCGCTGACTGGCCCACCCCCGCACAGAGAGAGAGAGAGAGAGAGAGAGAGAGAGAGAGAGAGAGAGAGAGAGAGAGAGAGAGAGAGAGAAATGGGGGAAGAAAGGAAATTAGTTGATTCCGCTCCTTATCCCACCAGACCACCGCCAGAGGCACGTACCGAACGACCGCGGTCAAACACACACAAACACACGCTTACACACAAGCACACGCGAAAAGCGCGCGCGCACTCACGCACACACACACAGAGGCACGAACCTTCCCTGCAAGGCCAGCCCCTGCGATCACGTCGTAACGAACGTTACGTCCTTCCACTCGGTCCATGTTTCCCTTTTGATGTCGTTATATTTTTCCGGGCCATCGTCATGGCCATGCGATGCGATGTCGCGACCCCCACGCCGCCTCCTCCCTGCCGCCGCGACATGTCCCCTTGTTTGTTGCGTCCTTTGATAGGATTTGGAACCTAGTTATGCGGCGCTTCCCTTTCTTTTTTTTTCTTCCCCAATTTTTTGTTTTGTTTCTCCGAAACTCGTTGTCTCGCAAACTGTTATCCCCCGCCTTCCTCTCTCCTTGCTCCTTGTTTCCCGCGGCACCGCGGTGGCAGCATGCCGCACCGCGCCGCACCGCGCCGACACACCGGAAACGAGCAAGAAGTCACTTTAAACTGCCCGGGGCCGGAGCTGCCGAGCCGGGGCCTCGGACTGGCTGGTCCCTGAGGCGTTTGGCGCGCTGGCTCGAAGAACTCGGGACGCCTCGTTCGGCTGAACCAACCAATCGCAGCGCACGCCGCGGCTGAGCCTACAAGCGTTGTCGCTTCTCAGAGAATAGTAGCACGCACACGTCATAAGACCGGCGCAGGCGGCCAAAACTCTAGACGCGTTTCGAGCTCCAGAGTCGCTAAATGGGACACGAACCGAACGTGTGACCCCACCAATGGATTGGTCTTCGAACGAGGAATCCATTGGTGGGGTCACACGCTCGGTTCGAGTCCTGTTTAGCGACTCGGGAGCCCGAAACGCGTTTAGAGTTTTGGCCGCCGTCGCCGGTCTTCCGGCCCACTGTGTGACGCGGGGCTGCATGGACATAGTGTCTCCGCCGGTCAAGGCCGCGCCGCTGCCCTGCTCGCCCCCGAGCACCTCGTCGTCGTCGTGGTCGTGCCCGGTGCTCCGCTCGGCGGCGCGCGGTGTGGTCCCAGGCCTGTCCCAGGCCTGTCCCAGGCTGCAACACTCCGCAGCGCAGCGCTTGCTTCGAATCTTGTTTTACGTCACTTTTACGGCCAATTAAACGGCCCCGTCCTTAACGGCGCGGAGGCGTGGCAGCGCCAAGGCAGCGCCGCTAACTTGAAGCAGCCAGCCTCGCCGAACCTCGAGCTGCATCCACCGGAAACCGGGCGGGCTGCATGGCGGGGCCTTCGTAAAGGGAGCGAACTAGATACTGCACCGCGGATCCCGGATTCAAATCATCAGTTTCGCTTTTGCGAACAAGAATCCACATACGCGGCTGTCACACTTCACTTATAGTCTACTTTGCCCAGGAGAACTTATTCTGAAAAAGAAAGAGTGGGGGAAAGATATGAAATTTCCTGATTTTGCCATTTTGCATTGGCGCGCGCGCGCGACGCCACCACGACCACCACGACCACCACCACAGCAACAACAACAACAGCAACAACAACAACAGCAACAACAACAACAACAGCTGCGAGAGGCGCATGCACGCCAAGGGGAGCGAGGGGCATAGCAAAGCAAAGGCGGTGGCGCCTTCCCCCGCCAGGCAGCAGCGATGGGTCAAGGCGGCAGGGCGGCATAGGGCGGCGGAGCGCAGGAGTGCGACACGACACAATCAGACGCAAAGCAGGCCGGGGCGGGGCAGGGCCGGGCCGGGCTGGAGCCGAGGCATCCACGGCCGCCTAATCAAATCTACCTGGATATTGAATTTACGATCCAGGAGGCGGGAGGGCGCGGGTGCGAAGGGCTTGGCGCAGGGCGCAGCATCAACTTTGCCGCGGTATATACGCGCCCTCTGCGCGCGCGCGCGTGTGAGAGAGAGAGAGGGAGAGAGAGAGAGAGAGAGAGAGAGAGAGAGAGAGAGAGAGAGAGCTTCTGTTTGTGCGTCTGTGTGCGTCAATGCCCGTGTTATTGCCCCCGGCCTCGGAGTCTCGGGGTCTCAGGATGGCGGAGGTTGCAGGAGTGACGTGTGTCAGGCGCACGCTTCCATCTGCCATCGCTCTCCGGCTGCGCGGCGCTACCCTGCACACTGGTGACTCCGAGGGCCCTTTTCGTGGCTCTGTCTCTCTCGCACTCGCACGGGTCTTCCCGTACAGGTGCGAGAGAGACAGAGCCACGAAAAGGGCCCTCGGCAGCAGTCTCCGCTGACGCTACCTCTCGCCTCGCCTTGTCTTGTCGCGCTTCCTCATGCTGGTGCGTGCCTGTTTCTAACTTTTCCCTGCTCACTTTTCGCTTTTCTCACTCGAAAGTTTACTCTGCGTTTCGTTTTATGCAGGCGGTTTTCAAAAACACGCCACTGCTCCCCTGGCGCGATGTTCCATCTTCCAAGGAGCAGGCTCCCTGTCTCCCTCGCACTCATGGGGCGTGCCGAGGCGGTGCACGGAAAAAAAAGGATTAGTTGTAACAACTAACATGTTGGTTGGAATGCGTCCAAGGAAGATTTTAGTTGCTGCGGCTAAAAGTTTGCTGCAGGAGCAATAATATTAGTTTGAGCAACTAACAAATTAAAGTTGGTACAAGGATAAAGTTGATTGTGCCAACAATATGTTAGTTGTGATGACTAACATGAGCGTCACGAGAGAAAATAAGCTTCGTATAAGAAAAACCTTCAGCGGGTATCGCGGAATCTGTGATCTGAGAGCTGCTGAGGCTATCCACTCCGCTGTGGTGAGCTGATAGCGGGAGAATGCCCAATGACGCTGATACAGCAAACTGACCGATGCTAGGACAAGCGACGATTAAATCATCGCCCGAAAGTCGGGTCTCCTAAGAATGTCCGCAGCGCAGTGGGCAGCGTCTCTGATTGACAAACGAAAGGTCCTGAGTTCGATTCCCGCCGCAGACTTTTTTCTGTGCGTGGTTTATTTTCTTCCGTGACGCTCGTGTTAATCCTCACAACTAACATAGTGTAGGAATAATCAACTTTATCCTTGAGCCAACTGTAGTTTTTTAGTCGTTTCAACTTATAAATTCGTTCGAGCAGCAAACTTTTAGTCGTGAAAACTAAAATCTTCTTTGGACGCTTTTCAACTAACATGTTAGTTGTCACAACTAATCCTTTTTTTCCGTGTGGTGTCGCCCTGTCTCCCTCGCACTCATGGGGCGTGCCGAGGCGGTGGTGTCGCCCTGTCTCCCTCGCACTCATGGGGCGTGCCGAGGCGGTGGTGTCGCCCTGTCTCTCTCGCACTCATGGGGCGTGCCGAGGCGGTGGTGTCGCCCTGTCTCTCTCGCACTCATGGGGCGTGCCGAGGCGGTGGTGTCGCCCTGTCTCCCTCGCACTCATGGGGCGTGCCGAGGCGGTGGTGTCGCCCTGTCTCTCTCTCACTCATGGGGCGTGCCGAGGCGGTGGGCCGGTAGACCGGTGGAGGTGCTCAAACTCCCAGACGCGTTTTGAGCTCCAGAGTCGCTGAATGGGACTCGAGCCGAACGTGTGACCCCACCAATGGATTGCTCTCCACACGAGGAATCCATTGGTGGGGTCACACGTTCGGTTCGAGTCCCGTTTGGTGACTCTGGAGCTCGAACAGCGTCTAGA